TTAGGAGTAAACAGTAAATCTATCTCTGAGAGAAAGAGAAAAATAATAGAAAAAAGTTATTTTTAGCCTAGAATGCCATCTTAATTGGTGTCACCTACATAATGATGTTTGCACAACCACAGATGGCGAGTCACGGGTCTTGAGAGCCTATACAACTTTGCAGAAACCATAGCAGACTGTTCTTCATTTTCAACAGAGGAAGTGAAAATAGCAGGAATAAAATTTTTCCTGAAAATTTTCAGTTTGGAAATTGGACTTGAAACTGAAATTTTATTTTGAATAAACCACAATCAGGAAGACAGACAAAGTGTTCCCCAGCAGAGAGGTAGAACTTCATTCTGAGCCCCCCGGAGCCAGAAGGCTTCAGGCTGCCTTTGGCTTGTCAAGGACACCAGGTAAGCTGTTTCACTTTGTCAATTTCAGTTTCATCATCACTAAAATCCATGAAACAAATATTGGTTCTTTGAAATTGATTTTAAATAAAAAGTTCCCATAGTCTTCCTACGTTTTGGTGATGATCTATATTTAAAGACAGTAAAAATAAGGATTTGGAAAGGTGTTGGTGTTCCCCCCAAATCTGAGAAAGCCACAGTAGTTAAATAATTGTCATCAGTGAAGATTACTCTGGGATATGGCTTATGAAATTCTTTTCTCCTTCTGCATGAGAATTTATCTTCTGTTAGCTGTCCAGTTTTGTTCTTGGGACAAGCTGATAAAATTGATATGTGAATTAAGTGTTTGATATGTGTTTACAGTGAAAATGATCCCTGGCTGGTATCCTGCTTCGGGACTAGGATGACTACCAAGACCTTAGAAGAAGCCCTATCTTTGCGACTCCCTAAGTGTGAAGACGCTTGTAGCTGGTGTGGTCCTTTGTGGGGATCCTCAAGGCTATCACTGTGGAGTTGTTACAAGATACATCAGTACCTGTGGTACAAGAGGCTTTTAAGCCATGGTGACTCTTATACCTGCCTGATGTAGACCTTGGCTCTTTGCACCTGAGCTGTCATCTGGAGTGGGAAATTCAGAAGCTAACCGCTGTACCACTGCAAGGATTTTTACAGGAGTGCCTGACACTTCCCAGCAGGCAAGCTGTGGCTCCTATCCTACTGAGCAGACTGGTGCCAACTGATCTATGAAAGTCTTTTGAGTCTGAATGTCAGGTTGAACCAAACAAAACCCTGTGATGGACACTGAACACTGCAGATACAAAACAGATCACACACACACACACACACACACACACACACACACACATGACCAGTATATTTTTGTTCCTGGGAAAAAATGCACTACTTAAAAATGACAGTAAATAAACATTTGCTGCTATTGTGCCCTGGCTGCTGTGGCTCAGTTGGTTTGAGCATCATCCCATAGCCAAGGGGCTACAGGTTTGATTCCTGGTCAGAGGAATTGGAGCGTGTATGGGAGGCAATCGAGTGATGCTTCTCTCTCACATCGATGTTTCTCTTTCTCCCTTACTGTCTCCCTTACTTTATCTCTAAAAGCAATGAAAAAAATGTCCTCAGTTAAGGATTGAAAACAGAACAAAACAAAAATAATTTGCTGCTACTATAAGTAAAATAAAGAAGCAATGTTTCTTCTCCATGTTTTCTGGTTATGATTTGAGTCTTTCCTATAAAACAAGATGGCTTTTAATTCCTGGAGCTGTGCTTAGTTGAAAGAGATGATAAATGGTGGAGCTTCCATCAGTTAATATCTGCAGTTTCGGGAGACCTTCAAAGAAGGGTGGAATAGCATACAGGAATCCAAGTCACAGGAGCTCTCCAATGTGCTAAATAGCCTCCATGTCTGTAGCAAGTGTTGACAGTCTTAAACTTTTGCTTTTTATTCTACTCTGTCACTCCTGGCTTCATTAGGACCTCCTTTTCTCAGGGCTTGTACACTAAAAATATACTTTGAGAAACTTATCTCATCTCTTCTCCTTAGAGTGCATCTCAGTTTTCTCTGAGTTTCATTTAGCTTTAAATACCCTTGACTAGGAAAGCCCAAGGTCACTGGTTGGCTCTGATAAGAGTGGCATTTAATGTCTGTGCCTCATGCCCAGTGCCAGGCTTGGGAATACACCTTCTCACTTCACTGCATAAAGGGAGCTTACATTAGCTTCCAAGAACCTAACAATGGTCCAGCTAGCTGTGAAATTGGATGGTAGAGAATTAGGTGAAATGTTTATTGAAAAGGCAGGAGACCTGCCAGAGGAATGTATGCATAGCTGTCGCTGACTGCAGAAAAGACTGAAGCCACAGAAAATGGGTTCATGGAGCAGGCAGCTCCCAGGAATTGTGACAGGAATTTCTGAATACTACTCTAGCCTTTCTATGAGCTTGACCCTGATTCTCTATGAGAAGTTCTCATGGTGTACTTTCCCCATCAATTACTAGGTGTAAAAGAGGCATACACTCATGAAATGATATTGGGCATGTGCCAAATGCAACAAGTGGTATGTCCTTTTAGGAAAGCAGTTTACTACTGTTCATGCTCCTGACACCATTACTGCTAACCTGGACAGTTACTCCAAGAAGCAAAAGCACATACAAGACATTTCTTAATAACCATAAATCATTATTTTTATACCTGGGGAATACAAAGCATTTTTAGGTTATGATATAAAGTTCTTTTTAATCTGTTTTTAGGTTATCTGGTTTAAGTAAGATTAAATCATAATATCACATGTTTATATACAGAGTTTACAATGTACTAGACCACCTAATGTGCTATGCACCTCACATGTATTAACTTATTTAATCCTAATAATAATTTTATTAGGTAGTTACTATTAAATTCCCACTGAGCGGATAAGGAAACTAAGCTCAGAAAGGTGAGGTACCTTGCTCAAGCTTCTGGCTTAACTGCTGAGTGGTGGAGACAGGATTCAAACTCTGACAGTCTGGCCCCAGAGCCTGTGCCCTAAACCTTGGTCCCATGCGCCCTTCCAAGAATGACTAGCAAACAGTCACACTGGTGTCTAATTCAACACTCTTTCCACTCCACAGACTGCACTTCATTCTGGTAGATGAGAAAACTGAAAACAAGGCTGAGTGACTTGCCTGTGGTCACATGACTAGCTAATGGTTGAGAATTAACTTACTGACTCCAATCTAATGATCTTCCTATTATTCTAGACTGCTGGGAATGAAGAGAAAAATATCTAGTTAAGAACAAAAGCAAATGAGAAAAGGCCTCAGGGAAATCAAGTCTAAGACCTTTAAAAAGATAAAAATCTTTCTTATCTCTTTGCTCTGCCATTAATTTTAATGGGACTCTGTCCTACTGGTACTGGCCTTATGTGCCCCTGACAGATGACTGTACGTGTGGATTGGTGACCTATATGGGAGAGATGGAGATGGAGAGGTGAGGGCTTTCTGGGAGATGTGGTCATCACAGTGTGCATCTGGTGTTCTAGGACTGGCTCAGACTCTGCATGTGTGTTTATGTTGTATATGTTCATGTGCAGAAATGACATGCCAATCAGCTGGTCCTACTGGAAAATGTAACCTGACTGATTTAAGAGAAAAAAAAGGTGCTCTGAGAAAACTGAACTTAGAGGGTGGTAAGCTATGTGTACTTTGACTAGGCTACAGTACTCAGTTATTTAATCAGGCACCAATCTAGGTTTTGATGTGAAGATATTTTGTAGGTGATCAGTTGATTTTAAAGGTGATCACCCTTGAAAACATGGGTGGGCCTCCCCGAGTAGAAGGCCTTGATGATAAAAACTAAGGGACGAAAACTCTGCCTCAAGACAGCATTAGCTCTAGCCTGAGCTTCCAGCTGATCTGACCTAGGAGATTTCAGATTTGCCAATCCCATAACTGCATGAGCCAATACCTTAAAATAAATCTCTATCTGCCTATCTTTCTACCTACCTGCTCTATCAATCCACCTACCTACCCACTCACCAACCCACCCACCTGTCTAGAGAGAGGGAGAGATTCTATTGATTCTGTTTCTCTGGAGAACCCCGACTCATAGAAACATTTTGCCAGGACTGCAAAGTGCTTTGAGAATGCTGAGCACATGGATCCACTTGACATACAGATTATAAAAGGCAGCAACAGTCCAAAATTAAAGAAGAAAAGTTTGGCTGAAGAGACAGGACGTTACTCTCCATCCCGCAGGCAACGACCAGAATAAAAGTTCCTCTCTGTCCCCAGGTCACAACAGGCAGAGAATCACAATCCCAGAACAGTCAGAACTCGGAACAGTGTGCACGCTGCAAGGACAGGCCCAGGCACCCATGAGTCCCTGTAGCAGTACAGGACAGCTGACAGTTAGGAACACACACTCAGACTTCTAGGGATTAACAGCAAGAAAAGGCATTCTGGGAATATTAAAAGAACCTCCTCCGTGAAAGGGGACAGTGACATCAAGGCCTCCCTTGTGTCCAGGTGAACAGTGACAAACAAGGCGCCTCTAATACTTCATCACGCTCTCGGTTCCTACTAAAATGTTTCTTACGCTGGGGAGAGTTACCGTATTTTGGGATTATTATACTCATTATTATACCCATAGTAAGTAATAATTACACTCATGTATAATGTACATCCTTATTTTTCCCTCAAAAATTTGGGCAAAAAGTGCTCAATATACATGGCAAATATGATATGTTCTAAATCTAATCTACTACCAATTTTAAAAATAAATGTGTCCTTTTTTATAATGAACAAACAAAACAAAAACAAACTCATAGATGCAGGGAACAGATCTGGGGTTACCAGAGGGAAAGAGGGCTGAGGGTGGGCAAAAGAGGTGAAGGGGGTCAACTGCATGGTGATGGACAGTAACTAGACTTGACTTTTGGGGGTGATCACTTTGTAGTATATATGGATGTTGAATTATAATGTTGTATAGCTGAAACTTTAGCAAATATAAATAAAAGTATCTTTTTAAATATTGTCACCATCTCCCAGGAGCCCCATCCCCTAAAAGGTTGCTTGGGAGGCCAAGGGGGATGGTGCCCGGAAGGTAATCAATCTCACCTTGGCTTCTGAAGTGGGTTCCAAGAAGCACAGGCGATTGCCAAGTCCCTCAGCTGCCAGGCAGAACTTCCTTTGCTCCTTGTGAATGCTCGCGATGCACTGGAGAACCACTTCATCTTCCTGCCATAAGAACAGACAGACAAATGAGAGTGGCCTAGGATTGCCTCTCCATGCAGAACCAGGCCCCCAAGTTGCCTTGCTGTATCTTTCTCAGGTATGCTGAGAGGCACGTGCTTTTGAATACTAAATAAAGGAGACTTTTATTCACATGCCTATATTCACATGGTATAATTGAGTACCTACCCTGATGTAGATTCTGATGTGGAGTCACCAGGAACAAGTACATGGAGTGGACATACTACACAAACATACAGCATGGGCCTTTCCTCTGAGATGTCTACAGTGCACACGCCCCAGGTGAGCAGATGATTTCAACCCTTGAGTGACCATGAAAGCAAACCTAAGCAATTTCCTAATATGAAATCAAATAAGATGTGATCGAGGGAACAGACACCACAGCAGAGATCAGAGGGAAGTTAGATTCAGGGTGGGAAAGTCTGCTTTGTGTTGGGGTGTGTGGAGGAGGCAAGAGTCATGTTTTGTTTTGTCAGGGGAGGGGTATATGTAGTGAGTTACACAGTTGTCAGATCCGACAGAAGGAACTGGAGGGTAACAGGAGATGTTTTTGGTATATTGGCAAGGAAGACTGTAAGACTCCCTGAAGGTTCAGATTGAAAGAAGGAATCGAAAGTCCAGCAGAGGACTCATTCTGGATTCCCAAGGAGGTGACCTCCTTTCTATACATCATGCTCAAAAGCAGCCTCTTAAAATTTCAGAGACCTTGTTTGAATGGCATTTCTCTTGTTGATGGTCAGAAACAAAGCTGTTCTCCATGTTCACTAATATGCTTTCCTCTTGTACAACCTGCCTGAGGCTGGGAGGAAAACACTTTCCTTACCAATTCCTTCATTCTTGCTCCTCCAATTAGTCCACGCCCTCTATCTACCACCATTTGACTTTGGGCTTCAGACCTCAGAGAGATTTCAGGTGTGGTGAAGTTAAAGGAGTAATGAGAAGAGCCAGATGGAGCTTCCTCCTTAGCTGTAACTCTCCTGTTTCCCTGATTCATCCCCATGTCCCATGGTGTTAATGTTTGTCCAGGTAGATTAAATAGAAACAACATTTTCTTAACGGTGTCATGGAAAAATAAAATCCTTCCACCTGGTGGGAAGATGAAGTGATTCAATAGTACCAGACTCCAACAATGTGTCTGCTGGTGCCCAGAGATTGGTCAGGGGCTAAAGGGACATGAAAGAAGCCACAAATTGCATATGAAAAGAAGATTGAGAGGAAGAAAAAGTTCTATGCTTATACTAGTACTGAAACGTCACTGTCCATTATTACTTTGAGTCAATAATAAATTCAAGAAACTCTGATTCTAGCGAAGTCAGAATTCATGGTCTTCATTTGAACTGAGACTGAAGAAAACTCCAGAACATCACTTCTTTCCAAACATGGGCTCAGTGAAATCTGTGAGGACGATGAAGTTTTTCCTCAGGTGGAGTCTCCCCAAGATCCATTCTCCTAAAGGGCATGGGCAATGGGCAGTACTCTCAGTTGTCAAAATGATTGAGGGGTGCTATGTGCATTGTGATGTAGGGGCTGTGTGAGATAAATGGTGTGTATATTGCAAGAAACATGTAATTGAAACATCTTCGAATACAATGTCTCTGAAACATGCAATTTTTCTGTACAAAATGTCAAGAGGACCCCCTAATTGAAAAATATTTAATATCTACCACCTACACACAATTCACCAGTTTTTATAAAAAGGCATTTGGAAATCACAGGAGTGTGATTATGGACAAGACTTTCCATGACCCAGTGAAAGTTGAGAAGTATTCTTTTTAGTACCATATTTTTCAGACCATAAGATGCACCTAGGTTTTAGAGAAGGAAAATAGGAAAAAAATTTTTGAAGCAAAAAATGTGCTAAAATATTTAATAACATAAATAACAGTATTTCACCAATGTAAATGTAAAGCTACATTCGGACTATAAGATGAACTCTCATTTTCCCCCCAAATTGGGGGGTGCATCTTATAGTCCAAAAATATGGTATATGTCTTAGAGAATCTCTTTTCATGATCTCATTTCCCACATCCTTTCACCCAAAGGAGTGAAAAATACTGTAGCTTGACCTTGCACTAGCTGCCTTGAGTCTCTATTTGTCTTCTGAAATTTACCTGTCTTATAATTCACATCCTCATAACCTGGGCTGCCAATCAGCCAATCATGCAATAAACAAACCTGCCCTGGCTCAATAACCATTTGCTGAAGTGCAGTCCAGCATAAGAGATTTTGTAGGTCATCACTCAGGATGACACAGAGACAGGTGTGGCACTGGAAGCCAGATTTGCCATCTCCAAACACCTTCACTGTTTTCCACCTGCTGTCTCGAACTGTATGCTCAGTGCTGATCTGGCTACAGGCACCACCTGGAGTGGCCGCCTGCACCTGCCTTTGCTCCAGACAGCAGCTATTACCTCCACAAACCTCCAACAGACAGACATCTGGATCCTTCGAGCACATAATACTGAAATCTTTGCACCCAAGTCCTACTGGGAATCACGAGATGAGCTAATTCAACCTGTCTCATTACTTCTCTCATTCCCTAGTAAAGCACAGGACACCAGCCTTTCCAGGTACTGCCCTACCTGGTTTACTCATCCTTGTACCGATGTAGACTTCCTCTTTTCCTGTTATCTATCTTCCTTTCTGCCTTTGCTTTAAATCAGGCCTAGGAATTCCAGAGAATACCATTTCCAAGGAAGCCCTTTAGATGGAGGTTGCAAATTCTTCCATATTTGGTATCGCCTCAGAAGCTGGTGCTCTCCTTACATCCCCCAGTGTCAAATTCAGACCGACATTTTTACTCAAACGCAAAACTCTTACATTTTGAAGTAGGTGATAGTCAATGTCCACATCTTCTTTGGCAATTTATCAACAGTCCAGTTACCACTTATCTGACAATCTGACAATGTTACCACATTTAATGACAATCAGAACATGTGATAGAAATTTTGGTGTGTATTCAACACACATTTATTGACTACCTTCCAATGATGAAGCTTCTGCCAGGACACTGCAGAGCACACCAGGTTTTATAAGACAAGAGCTGTAAGTACTGTATAATGGGGCCGATGGCCAAAAGGCCAGCAGATGGCCTTTCTCCACTCCACTCCAGTCATCATTTCAAGTAAGTTCAAGGTCGATGTGGACAATCCATTCAAAACAAACACCTGACCTAATTACTTCTACTTTGTTTTAGTAACACACTATATGAACATTCCTTGTCATTATCTATAGAACAATTCTAACTCTGAAATCTAAAATTAACTTATCTTACTCTATGAACCCACTCTTCTCTTTCTTGCTTTCTTATTCTCTTACTTTTGCTATTCTTGCTCCCCTTCATCAAGACTACCGGTTCTTAAAGGGCACTGCCATCTCCATTATTTCCGCTACCCTAGGAAGGGGAATGACAGGTTGGAGGGGTGGGCTGGGATTGGGGTAAAGGGCAGAAAACTATACTTGAACAATTAAAATTTAAAAAATTATTAAACTTACTGAGGTGATATTTGTTAATAAGATTATATAGGTTTCAAGTGTACAAGTCTACAATACGTCATCTGTATATAGCATTGTTTATCACCCAAAGTCAAGTCTCCCTCCATCATCATATATATGACCCCCTTTACCCTCTTTAGCCTCCTCCCACCCTCCTTTTCCCTCTGGTAACCACCAATCTTTTGTCTGTGTCTCTGAGTTTCTGTTTGTTTGCCTTGTTCATTTGTTGCTTTGTTTTATATCCCACATATAAAGGAGATCATGTGGATCTTGACTTTTTCTGAAGAATGATACATTTTTAGAGAAAATAACACAACTCTTGGGTTTTGTTCCACTAAAAATTTACAGGACTTTTTTTTTGTAATATATTTTTAGCTTGTTTGAACTCAGATTTCAGTGCAACATGACCATAAAATTTTCCCTTTTTTGTAGGATTCACAACAGATTCAACTCAGTCAATATCAGATAACTAAAGAGAAGAAAGAGAAGAAAGGTCAGAAGGAACCACAATCAGTGGTAGGACTTTCAGACCTAAACTCCATCTTTAAGGTGAGGGATGCCAATCTCTTATGTCCCAGGAAATAATGTATGTAAGATCACGACGATTTTTCTGCCTTCTGCCAAGTAAGTCAAAAGGTTTCTGACTGAATCCTAGAGTGCCCCCCCACCCAGTTGAGTTCTCCCCTCCACATCTAGCCTTACCTTTTCTTCATTCCTATTACTTTACTGTCACCCAAGTAAGTCTTGCTTAGCCCACAAAATGTTCCCTCTTGAAACCCCTCCATTCCTTTATTCAACTCTGCTCTCCTAGTTTAACTACCTTTCTGATGGAGCATTCCCATGGTCTCTTTCTCCTGCAGCCTGTAAATATAGGGATCATCCCAGAGTAGGTTCTTGTCATTTTCCCTTAGCAATCTTCTCCATTCTTCAGGCTTCTAGTTCTACTCTCAAAAGTTGTGATGCCCTCTTTCCCTCCATCCTAGTGGCATTCTAAGATTCCAAATCTTCACCTATTCCTAACTACATCCATGGGCTTCACGAACACCTCAGTATGTCCCAATGCCCCAAAAGACTTCATTTTCAGTCTGTGTTTGTGCTCCCTATGTTTGTTTGTTAGTGACACATCCAACCTCTCAGCAACCCAGGCTCAAATGTCATCTTCTGTCTGAGTCTTCCTGCCTTTATCCAACAGTAAATAGGCCAGAGGAGGGAGAGACTGGAGGTCTAGAGACCAACACAAGGCTGTTACAACACCAGAGGCATAGCTCTGACCTCCATTTCCCTGCTTAAAATCTGTAATGGTACTCCCTCCACTACCCACATAACAGATACAAACAGCTTACATGAGCATCTGAGGACCTTTGCTTTCCAATCTATTTTCCCAACTTCTTCCCCACAGAACTCCTTGGTCTTCTAGACCTCCATGCCCTTACTCATGCTGTCTCTAATTCTAAAGCTGCCCTGATTTATTCCATGTTCATATATTACCT